TTCACGACAAAGATTTCTCGCAATGAAATATGCTCTTGTCAAAAAGGAGTCCACCTACTTGGCTCAAAGCCTATTGTGATATTTACCGATCATGCTTCGTTAAGCACTACGACAAAGTCGGTTCACCTCTCATAGCATATGGCCCGTTGGCTTTCTTTATTTGCTGAATACAACTTCGAGGTGAAGTATAATCCGGGCAGGCAAAATTCTTTGGCTGATGCGCTCTCGCACCGACCTGATCATGAGCCTGCTCATGTTGCGACTCTGTCGTCATCCAGTGTGGATTCTATTCGTACGGGATATGCACGTGATGAGCAATGTGTAGCATTGCTACATGATCCTGGAAGCGAGGAGTTTTGAGACTTGGACATCAAATTGTCAGCACGTTTACATGCGAGCCTACATCGATATGTTATCGATGGTGGGCTTTTGTGCTATTACACGGGTGTTGAAGATGTGTCCCGCATCGTTGATCCTCATGATGAGTACTTAAAGTATCGTATCCTCTTTGAGACGCATGACACTGCTTTAAACGGTCATCTCGGTCTTGAGAAGACCTATAGATCAGTGAGTCAAACTTATTGGTGGCCCAAGTTGAACAAATGGGTGAGTACATATGTGCGTACATGTGAAACGTGTCAATGGGAAGGGGAAACGTGTCAATGGGTCAAACCCTCAGCACATGCGGTTGCACCTCTTGCTAATTCACCTGTACCCATTATGTGTTGGGAGTCCATCATTATGGACTTTGTTTTTGGCCTACCGAAAGATTCGGACGGCAACACTGGTTTTGTGGTCTTTGTTGACCGTTCAAGCAAGATGGCTCATTTAGCGGCTGTGCCTGATTCCATCGATGGCGAAGGTACAGCAAAGCTGTTTATCGACCGTGTGTTTTGTCAACATGGTTCTTTGGTGTCAATTGTCTCCGATTGTCATCTATGTTAGACTGGCAAGTTTTGGAAGTCCATATTCGATGTGCTCGGCAACCTATTGGGCGTGTTCAAAGCAGATCATCCGCAGACCTAAAGTTAAAATGAGCGTGTCAACCGTGTCATTGGTATCATTTCGCGCAGTGTTTGTGCTGATACGACTAAGCGTTGAATCTCTATGCTCCCTGTGGTCGAGTTTGCTCTAAATAACGCTGTTCATGCATCTACTGGCATTAATCCATTCTACGTGAATGGTCTCACTCACCCAAGCGTTTCGTAAACGCTTTCCCTACGACTTTATGGGCTTGGTGGGGGAGGAATAGCCGACAGCTTACTGCTGTCAGCCCAACTACTGTTCAGAGACAGGTGAGAAAGTTTCTCGCTACGCGGTCGAATGTCTACGACATGTACGTGATGCAATGGCTGTTAGCCAGGACAAGCAAAAGAAACAAGATGATTCCAAATGATGAAAGTGCATTAAGAGTTATAAGTTTGGCGACCAATTCTTTCTTAACGCTAAGAATCTACCTACCAAGGTGGTGTCAGCGGTCTGCGGGACCTAGTTGCGTCCTCGCTTGATTGGGCCGTTTACGGTTGTGTCCAAGAAAGGCCTAGCGTACACGCTCAACCTCCCACGCAAGATGCAACCACACCCAGTGTTTTTACGTCGGCTTGCTTAAGCCTTACCTTGATCCGTCGCTGGTGGATCACGAGGCATGCGCCAAAAGAACACGCAAAGCCACGAGTCGAGGGAACATCAAATTAAAAGATCTAGTGGTCCCTCAAGACGCACCACTATGTCACGCAGACCGTGCACCTCGTGCACTAGCTCGTCCACAACGCGTCCAAATTCACCAACCGTTGCCTGATCTCGTTGACGAGCACGGGGATCAACAGTACCATGTTGAACGTCTCCTGCAGCGACGTCGTCGCGACAGTCAGTACCAGTACTTGGTACAGTGGCGGGGGTACCCTGAGTCGGAGAAATTATGGGAGTGCGAAGTGCCGCTGCGGCAGGATTGTCCGTACACCGTTGACGCTTTTGAACGTCGTCTTCAGGGTCAGTCGACCCATCCGGCTTCTCACTATTCGGTGTCAGAGTGTAGGAGGCTGCAGCTGCAGCAGGTGCAGGTGCACTGAGGCGCGGGTCCGTAGATATTGCAGCATAGCGTGTGCGATAAAACGATTGTATTTGACCTTTGGTCTTTTTTTGGCGAAATCAAAACGCATCTTCTGTTCCAGCCGAACGTCGGAAAGTGAAGCGCTCTCATGGAGAGTCCACAGGCTTGGCATACGACGTACGCTATACGCCCAACGCATGAATACGGCACACTGTCCGCCTCTGTCTCACCAGGGAAGATAACGATAGGTATTTCCGCATGGCGGACACTGATACCCCTTGTGCTTGCATATTCATCCTGTTAACGTACTCTTGAACGGTCATACGTTTAATTCCCAAGTATCTTTCTCTGAGAGCCTCTCTCTCCGCTAGTACTGTGTCTGCGGCGGCCTTGGGTCCCGTGATCCATGTTGCGGGTGACTGCCCGGAAGTCTGATGGATACGCTCATCCACAGTCGGTGGAGTGAAGCGGTAGCCACTTTGAGCACTGGCTGCGGCTACAATTTGTGGTGGGCGCCTGCGGTAATTGATCGACTGAAGATATTGTGCTTGATCTTTATCTAGAGCGTTATACAACTCACCCGAAGAAGGGTCGACTACTGCGCGCTATTTAATGGGTGAAGTTACCTCATCGCATTCCACGAATGGATTCGGCGCGATGCGCGTGTTGTCACGCGCCGGTGGCGTTGCTGGGGGATGTTCGTAGAAGATCGAGGCAGCAGTGTCACTCTCGTTGTCTACCATACCCTTCAAGGAACTATTCCAGGGTGTTGGACAAACGATTTGAATCAGTCTTTTGAGATGTGTTGTAAACATGATGGTTAAGGACCAAAGCTTTGACAGATCTCAAAGCGCAGTAGAGGAAGTGTCGACACAAGGGTGTCGACAGTTTGGTGGGGGAGGGTGAAAGGGGGTTACACGCGATTATCTGAACCGGTTATGTTGTGTCCACACTAAAAAAAGATCGGTGGATCTTAGTAGTACAGTCTTGGTACCACGTGCTTACGGTAATATTGCACCTTATCGGGTGAGGGTAAGTGATCAAATTTCTGTCATAAGATCGTAATGTAGAAGTCAGCCAGGCAAGATTTTAGAGTTTTATTACCGTAGCTAAAAGAATAAAAAGTTCGGCTCTCTTTGGAATCGTTGGAAATTAGTGCCTAGTCAAGACGTAGTGCGTTGTAAGATTGTAAGCCTTGTGATGGCGCTTACTCTTGTTTAACTAGTAGTGACTAGTTCGTGTGTGATTCTGTGAATCGTAATCCCTTTAAACCCGGATTGTTAAGCTTGTACGCTTAAACGACTGTATGTCGTTGTTACTTTGTTATAACTAAGAGACTCTTGAGTCTACGACTTCCTCTGTTAAGGAGCGCTAAAGGTCTCCGCTATAATACCACGCTACTGTAACGGGGTGAAACGTTGCATAACAATTTATAAGAAATTGTTAATAGAATATACTATTAGAGTTATATTCTCAGAATATTTTTTAAGGTTAAATATTCTGTAGCACTTACGAGTAGTTCCTAATTGGTTGATGTAGGCCATTATATCAACCAACGAAGACGCGCCACGACAGACGCACGCAATGAGTGGTGAGCAGATAATTGATTAACACATTTGTATTTAGACATAGTTAGATGAAGATAAATAGTGATTTATTGCAGACATTAACTATTATAAATACAGTTCTACTTTTTACTTTAACCAAGTACTCGCTTCTTCTTACCGTCTTCCTCTGCACGTACGAGTGTACGTGAAGTTACGAGGCACCGCCTTATTTTGTCATCAGAATAAGTAGCTTGTACTGTTACCAGTACAAGCTTCAGGGTGCCCCGTTACAGCTACCGATCCACTACATCGCCCCCACCCCCGCGTTCAACGAAGATCTCCAAAAAGCGCACTCTCGAATCGCCAAAAAGCGCTAGTGACGGTCTTAAATAGATCAATTAATGCATTTTCTATTATTTCTTGCAGTCGTGCGCGACTTGCCTTTCGATCTGATGAGCAACAAAGCAAATGTTATGCTGCCTCATAGTGCCTTTAGTTTCTCCCGTCTATGTAGTGTGCGTTGTGATCCCTCCAGGAAGTAAATTAATGTGACTTGACCACGTGGATTTGCTGACTGCACAAGTTTATTTCACAACATAGCAGAAGATTTTGTCCGTCCTCTCGCTCACGGAAAATCTGCTGGAAGAACGCAATCTTTTGCAAAGCTTCAATCTCCTGTAGAATTTAAATTATCATGCCTTGCACTCAATGGGATCGTAATACCGCCGTTTGTGGCGTCGCGCTTGCCGCGTGCGCGTCTTCCTGGTACTCGTATTAAAGTCAGTGATTACCTCCACCTTAAGTTTCTCAACCGCCACCCACATCAGAAAACACCCCATCCCCTATGCATTTTCTTGTCGCACTCTTCATCCTTGTTCTCGCCGTCGCTCGTTTCTCATGTGGTGGGCTCCGGCGAGTACGCAATGGTCTCAGCTTGTCATCAACTTTTTGAGCGGATAACACAGCGGTGGGTAGTGTTCTCTTGAGCAAATTATGATCGACAATGATATGGAAAGGTGTGATTTATCGACTTTAAACTCGAGGGTGGGTACCGAAAGCGTAGGATCCAGCAAGGGATAGATTAGTATGTGTTGGAAAGTTGACAAATTAGCTGCTTCCTTCGACTTATTCCCACACTGTATATCAATATTATAGCTAAGAAAGTCTCCCTCCTACTATCCGTATGCAAGAGCGTTTGGTGGTGCGGTCGTGTGGTATGGTGCGCTGAAAACTATTTAATTAAAATACGGTGTGGGGGAAATCGTAAAAACTGTGGTGAAAATAATTCCCTTTTTTATTTTCGGGAATAAATGGGCTATTTTTATTTTCCCTCGAAAAAAGGACAAACAATTGAAGCTTCGCAGCAACAAACCGTTCAATAGACAGACAACAGTACAAAGACGATGACAACGGTCAGGAAGTTCCAGGCAGCAATAGCATACCCCTCTGCATCTTTCGTCAATGCCCTTGAAGTCATTCTCACTTCAGAAAAAGATCAATGGCGATACCTGGATGCCAAGTCCATCTCGGCCATCGGATGTTCATGCTCGGCAGCTCGCACAATGCTTCACACGTGGCTCGACGCCATCATGCGGGATATCTCGCAGGGCAAAGAAGTGCTGCCTCTTCCCGTCCAGTTCCCTCTGCCAGTTCAATTCAGCACGAAGCTCGTTGCAGTCGTCCAGCTCTTGCAGTCGTTCACCTACACGACAGCCATCCACGTGCCGGTCGTAAGCGAACAGCACGCGCTGCCAGCTCATCTCATGTTAAAGCAGTACCAGGACACGCGCTGCCAGCAAGTCCGTCGTGGCCGCCAAGTACGTGTCTTCCTTGCAACGTGCAAAGCAAAGGGGTGGGGCGTGTACGCCGCTCAGCGGATTAAGCCGCACGAGTTCATCGGCGAGTACACGGGTGAACTCATTTCGACTAGTGAAGTGCAGTGTCGCTACCGGGATCGTTACGACCTTAAGGCCCTAAACTACGTCATGTCCCTAAGAGAGCACGTGGCTCGAAAGGCCAATCCAGCTCTATCGTTTGACATTGTGCGTACAAATGTGGACGCGTCGAGCTGCGGGAACGTGACGCGCTTCGTCAATCACAGCTGCTCGTCCAACGTGACGCTTGAGGCCGTGCGCGTGGACTCGTTCGTGCCGCGCTTGGCGCTATTTACTCGAGTGGCTGTTGATGCAGGTCAAGAATTGACAATTGACTATGGGGAAGGTTCTAGAAATGTGGTACAGGACGTCAGCGGGCGTCCACAACGAGCCCGACGGTGTCAATGTGGAGCTCTCGAGTGCCGAGGCTACTTGCCTTGTGTGCTCGAATGATGCCACCTACTTTATGTGCAGGTTGTGTACACATTACCACACGGGACTTTCACTGACTGGTGATGCTGGACAAGACGTACGACCAGGTGTGTGAGGACGCTGGTGCCGCTGCTGAGGCGCGATTGGTGCAGCATTTCAAGCAGCATGGGGGAGACGTCTGGACTATTGGCACTGGATGCCATAGATGCCGTCAGAAACGTGAGGACGTTGGTAGGCTGAAGGTAAAAATAAATGAACGACGACAAACCTGCACGGAGGTGTGTATCATCAATAGCTTACTGATGGCGAGAGTGTGCTGCTTTTTTCTGTGACTTCTTGCAGCGCTGTGTAAAATGTGGTGCGGCTTTGTTTTGTGATCGCGAGTGTCAAGTTAGTGCTTGGCCTGCGCACAAGGCCGAGTGCTGCATCATTGCGACCTTCAAGCGACTGATCAAGAGTGACAACTCCGAATCAAAGTGCGGCGACGTTGCTGTCTGGTTGTCGTCCACTACAGGGGATAAATTTACATGAGTCAGTGACTCGAGTTGGTTCGTGTTCACGTATTTGATACAGGCTTGCTTCGCTGCTCGAGACGCTGACGTTCTCGACTTGCTTGAAGAAGGTGGAGGAGCCTAGGACAGCAGGCGTTGCAAGTTCGATCGGAATGAACGGACCAATGCTTCCTGGCTGGTTCTTTGCGGTAGATTTTGAACAGGTGGGTAGGTTGTTGTTTGCTTTAGCTGTATCTATGTGGTGGAATATTGCTTTCACGGTCGTACTGATGGCCTGGCTCATGCGTGCAGGCGTCGAAAGAGCGGCAAAGGGCCTTGTACCAAGCGACACTCGAGCTATATGGACTACTTAAGGACGACGAATGCTGGTGAGGAGGTCACGTCGATGCTTATCATGCTCGCAATACATTGACGAAAAGGCGCTGGTGCATGCAGGACTCGTGACAAGGAGAGCTTCCCACGTTCCAGCTACACGCTGATTGAGGTCAGTTACATGTTGCTGCTGGTGCGTCGTGAATTGCTGTTGCTGACAATGCTCGTGCGCTCTCAACGGTACTTGCGCGATTCAGTCACTACCACATGCTTCCCCTGCAGCAGGAATACTGCAGGAAAAGTTTGTCGAGATGAACGGACATCTCTTACTGTTTTCGGCATGGTTGCAACATCCGGAGCCGCCTGCTACGCAAGCCCTACCTCTTGAAGACCGGGGCTTCTTTGGGGTTGTAGATTCGCTTCTGCAGATCAGGTACGAGCACGTATCTATGTGCGTCGTTCGATCGTATCGTTACTGACCTTGTATCGATCCAGTACTCTTCGCGATGGTGTAGATAACTTCATGCAAGCGTAAAGAAGCACACAGACGCTGCTGATTGCAGACAGTCTCATTCATGCACGGTATATTGACAACTATCTGTTAAAATAGCAGGACACACGCCACGCACTTCGTCGTATTGCAGGACAGCAGCGTCGCATCGGACCCTCACGGCGGCACCTGGGCAAACGCACGGTACAGTGCGTCGAGCTTCTCTTTGTTATCCCCATCGAGCTCATAGCCTTCGAGCGCAGCCACGATTGTTTCATTATCGCTCAAAATCAAATCCTTCAAACGTGTCTTCTCTTCTGCAGAGATCAGCTTTTCAGCTGCCAGCCGGTTGACTGTCCCCAGCGCTCTTGCGTACCGCGCACGTTGCAACAGCAGTTGCTCTTTTGTGGGTAGAACATCTTCGCCCAGCTCTCCTTCTAGCACAACAAACACGCCCTCAATAAGTCGCAGGATCACTTCAGTCCAATAACCACAGCGCCCTCCTCACCATCAATGATGCCCCTCGTCTCCAGCTCCGTCACGGCCGGTCGATGACGTAGTTGTCGCGCAACCTGATCGGCCTTCAACTGCCGCGCCAGTTCCTGCGTCGCGCCTTGCAGCACTGGGGCCACCGCCACCTCCTGATCTACAAAACAGCAGCAAAGCAGCTACAAATGAGCGCCCTCCACCATTTCCAGTGGACATCCACTACCCACTGTACCCGGTAGAATATGATGCAGCACGAGCTCCTCTTTCTCAGGTCGGGCCTCCAGCAACTGCGACACGTGATCCTGCACCAGCTGCTTCTCCAACTGCTTCGCTGCAGCCGTCAGACGGGGCGCGAGATCGGCACTCGTGTCCAAGACACCCGTCGAGCGCAACTCCTCGACCGACGGCCGTTTGCTCAAGTTCTGGTGCACTTTTTCCGTGTTCAACTGGCGCTGCAGCTTCTCCTGGGCGGCCTGCAAACTCGGGGCGACGCCGTCGCTGCCGTGCACGATCGCCTGGTCCCGCAGCTCCTGCACGTCCGGTCGCGTCTCGAGACGATGCGCCAGTTCGTCCGTGCGCATCTTGTGCTGCAGCTGCTTCTGCACGCCTTGAAGTGTCCCCGAGACGGTGGGAGACGCCGTGGACAGCACGTTGCGCTGTTCGAGGGCCGTGGCATCGGGACGCGTCTCGAGCAAGTCGTCGATCGTCTCACTTGCCGCACGTCGCTGCTCCTCGGTCAGCGACGGCAGCTGCTCGGCTGTGGCGTGGGACTCGTCCGTCATCGGGAACGGCTGCTGGAATCTTTCGGTCTCGCTCGCTCACTCACTCACTCACTTCTCCAGTCGGAAGAAAAAGAGAAAGTGAGAGGAGGGAGGGACTTTCAGGTGGGATATCGAGGATGCAATGGAGACTTTCGGGTTGGGAATCTTTTGAGGATGCAATGGAGACTTTCGGGTTGGGAATTTAGGTGGGATGCAATGGAGACTTTTGGGTGGGATATCGAGGATGCAATGGAGACTTTCAGGTTGGGATTTCGAGTGGGATGCAATGGAGACTTTTGGGTGGGATTTCGAGTGGGACGAACACAGCGATACGCGAATGGACGAGTCAACTTCAACTTGGACAGCAACTCGACGGGAGATTCGACAGAGCCACTTGTCAACTGCCTCTCCTTCTTCTTTTTTTTTTTTTCATCCCCTTAATCTACACGAACTTGTAGACACATTCAATCAGCTGCTGTGCTGTAATGGTGCTCTCGCCCGTGCGGTTCAGCTCCTCTTTGGCCATCTCCGTCACGAGCAAGAGTTTCTTGACCGAGATCGGGCGGTCCGACAGCAGCGTCAATACCTCGTGCTTCTGGTCGTCAGCCACGGGCAGTCCTGTCTGTGTCAGCACCATCTCTACTTCCTCCCTCTGTGTCAGCTGCGGTACCTCGAGGCACAGATCGAAAACGTCGCTCAGCTCCACGCCTTGCAAGGCCGTCATGTTGGACGTGATGCCGATCACGACAAGCTTCCGCCCAGCTACAGGCACTGGGTTGCGCACCAACACCATGAGTGCCTGCAGCACCAGGTTCGAGAACCGAGGACCCATACCTGGCAAAAAAGATCGCAAGGTTAGCTATCAAGATACACATTCTTACGACATGACCAACGACGCACCAACGTAGTCAATTAGTCGCTCAATGTCGTCCAGGATGATGATGCCAAGCGGTGAACGATACGCTTCCTCAAACACGTTGTAGATAAACGAGCACTTGCCGCTCTCGGCACGTGAGATGAGCTCAGACGCCTTGACCATGCGCACCAACGGGAACTCACTTGCGACAGCACAGTACGTGGCTAACGCTGTTTTGCCAGCGCCGCGCTCGCCGTGCAGTAGCACCGACATCAAAGGCGTCTTGTCGTTCGAGCGGACTTGGTCGATCACACGAGCCAGTGTCTCACGTACGTCAGTGAATGAGACGCCATACGGAATCAGTCCGTTCTTGTAATAAAGCGCCAGCTGATCGCTCGGAGCACCAAATTTAGGCTTCACCTCATCCAATGCCAGCGCGAAATCCTCCATAGAGATCTCAGGATTGTAGTTGGCGATTGCATGCATCGTGCGGCCATCGGTACCGCGCGAAAGGGCATGCGCTGTAGCAGCGCGTACCAATCCTTCAATCTCGGCACCAGAAAAGTTCTTCGTGCGCTGAACAAGGTTTTTGTAGTCGGGATCCTTGCTGACGATTTTGGCTGAGTCAAGGCAGTTGTCGAGGTCTGCAATGACTTTCGGGTGCAGCGCTCCCTTCTCGCGGGCACGGTCTGTGTGAATCTTGAGAATTTGAGCCCGACCTTTATCATCAGGCAGATTAATCTCAATCTGCACCTCGAGACGACCGGGACGCACCAAAGCTTCATCCAGCATATCCTGACAACATAACAGGCACAACCACAGTGAGACTTTATCAGCATGCACTTGTGCTACGACAATCGCATCCACACCTTTCGGTTTGTCATCCCGATCACCAGGACGTTATTCAAGCTATCGACGCCATCAATCTGCGTCAGCAGCTGGTTCACTACGCTATCACCCACGCCGGTGCTATCACGGCTCGAGCCACGCTGCTTGCAGATGGCATCGATTTCGTCAAAGATGATAATGTGCACGTCGCTCTCGTCCCCGAGCTCCTCTTGGTCCTTGCGCGCATCGGAAAAGAGTTCACGAATCTTGCGCTCCGACTCGCCGACAAATTTGTCCAGAATCTCGGGTCCGTTGACTACCTTCGGCTCTTTTGCAGTCAGAGCTTGGGAGATCTTCCGTGCAATAAGCGTCTTACCACAACCAGGTGGTCCAAACAGCAGCATTCCACGCACGTGCTGGATACCGAGTTTCTGAATGACATCGGTAGGGAACAACCGTGAGGCAAAAGCACGACGGAAGATGTCGTTGAACTCCTTGTCCAAGCCACCAATGCCAAGCTTCGTAAAGTCAAAGTCCGGCTTGAACACCGTGCGAGTGGTACCGCTAGACTGATTCGTAAGACGAATCGGAGCGTCTTTTGCCTTTGTAAATGACACAATAGCACCTTCAAGAAACGTGCCGTGACGCGGTGCAAACGAGCTCGAGCCGCTGCTGTCTCCGTCCACTGTGTCCACGTTTACACACTGTAGACGCAGCGGCAGTCCGTCGCACCTTACAGCCAGGAGCTGCCCCACCGCAAAGACTTGGTGGATGTACTCATTTTCAAAGACCTTCTTGAGCAAACTGCAGTCCACGACGCGCAAGTCGTTGCCCTGCGCCCGCGTCAGCACTTGCTGGACCTCAAACGTGACGGTGCTGAGAACGCTCTGAGACGGTCCAAAGACCGAGACCTCGCAGACCTCGTTCATAGGGAGCCCTACACACATGCGCTGCATCGTTCCGACGGCCACCGTCCCTTGCTCGAGCTCTTTGTGGGGCTTGGCAGCCAGCACAAACTTGCGGTTGAGCCACACGTTGAGGCCGTGAGCGCGCAGCTCGTCCTTTGTGACCATTCCCCTGGGCGTCTGCTTCACCAGCGACATGAAGTCGTCCATGTGCACGTACACGCAGTTGGTGAAGGCGTACGAGTTGCCAGGGAGGCCGACGACCGCTGCTTCGAGCGCCATGCTGACGGACGTAGCTGTTGAGATTGTGGGTGTGGAGCTGGTGATAGGCGATATGATGACGTCAGTTATGGTTTGTTACACAACAGACGAGTGCAGTTTGTAAATGATTAAAGGGATACGCGACATGTGATATGATGTGTTCGATCGTGTCAGAAGACGAAAAAGACGACTTTTTTCCAGCAAGGACCCGATAATACCGATTTTTGTGGGTGTTTTGATTCGATTGCCCTTCTTTATCCATCGTGATCAATTGAGACCTTTGCTGAGTAGGAACGCATTCTGATTCGGGGCACGACCCAAAAAGTCCTGGAGCATCACGTCCGCGTCAACTGACCCGCCACGCGCGAGAATCAGTTCGCGGTACGCGACTCCCGTCTTCGGGTTCATCAGTCCGTCTCGTTTAAAACGGGACATGAACATGTCCATGGAGAATACCTCGCTCCACATGTAGCCGTAGTACTGAGCGTCGTAGCCGCCAGCCAGGTGACCGAACGAGGCCGCAAAGTTCGTGTCGGGCGTCATGTCAATGAGCATGATCTCGCTCTGTAGCTGTTTGAGGAGCTCCGCCGAGTTCGACTTGGCCGTAGAGTGAATCGTCTGGTCAAACATGGCGAAGAGCAGCTGGCGCTTGTTCAATAGTCCAGTGGTCACGTTCCTTGTCGAGATCAGGCGAGCGACGAGGTCGTCCGAGAGTTTCTACAAGCAGCCAAAAAGTCAGATAATGTGATCAATCCGGACGACTAGGATGGCAAATCCTTACTGCGCCAGTCTCGTAGTGTGACGACAGACGCTGCAGTGGCTCATTTTCCCAGCACCAGTTTTCAAGCATTTGACTAGGAGCTTCTACGAAGTCACGCTCGACACGCGTGCCAGCGAAGCGAGGGATCGTCACTTCAGAGCACAGGCAGTGCATCACGTGGCCAAACTCGTGGAAGAACGTCACAACTTCCTGGTGTCCCAGGAGTGATGGCTTCAACTTGGTCGGTCCATTGAAGTTAGCAACCATGGCAGCTGCAGGGTACTGTTGTGATCCACGCGTGAGCACATAAGACAATCGCAATAGTAAAAAAACAGGCGGAATAGCGCACCTCACGGCAACCCGAAGAGTTTGTACAGCTCTGTTGCAGCGTAAAGCAAGCTGCATGACCATACTTGCCTGCGCGGGGAAACAAGTCCAGGTAGAAGTGGCCGACGAGGTTGCCGACTCGACTCGGGCGAGCATCGTAGACTGCAAACATGCGAACGTCCTGGTGCCACACGTGAGGGTGTGGAATCTCTACAAACTTCAGGCTCAACAGCTCCTGGTACATGGATAGCAATTCTGTCGTCACATGCGCGAGTGGGAAATATTCACGAAGCTTCTCACTATCGATAGAGCAGTGTTTCTTCACGAACTGGTCCATGTAAAAGCGAAAGTCCCACATGTTGATTCTGCCGTCGAAGTCCCATCCATTGCGCTCACAGTCAGCCTTCTTTAGCTTCAGCAAGTCATCCAGATCCTTCTTGGCAATTGGCTCAAGCTTTTTGTTTAAGTCGTTCAAGAATTCCTTCACCTTCGCCGGAGATTTTGCCATCCTGTCATAGTGGAGAAGCACATACTACCTCATCAGCAGTTGTTCGTGCAAATAGTAAACACTCACAATCTCACCTTTGCTCGAGGACATACGCAGCATGATTCTCGTATCCCAAAGCCTGTGCTACTTTGTGTCGAATTTCCAGCATCTCTTCCAGTATAGCAACATTTGTGGACATGCAGCGACGATTGAAAGCATATTCGACAGCCTTGCGCGTCGATTCCACGGTGCATGTGTTAAGAATTGGAAACACCGTTGGGTACGATAGAGCAATCTGCAAAAATGCAATGTAAAGGAACGTGTCAAACCCAACCATATTGCAAAAGTAGCTTCAACGAATTGCATTACTCACCTTGTACTTGTCGTCCTGGTTTTTCTCAAGTGCATCGATGAAGTCGTCACTGAGCCCTTTCAGCTCGTTATTCGAGAAGCTGACTTCAATCGTCTCCTCCGAAAGATGTTGCTGAAACTGAATTCCAAGCTTAGACAGCTTTTGCTTCCATGCCTGTACCTCCTTCTGCTTTTCTTCAGGCAGCTGCAATCCATTGCGTTCGAAGTCTTGCACGAGACGGTGAACATACCGCTGCGTCACATCGTCCAGTGTCTGTCCACAAACAAATCAGACATCCGACCTTCAGTTTCTGATTATACCAAAGCTACACCAACCTCTTTCAATTCCTACCTGGAACTCTGCACTTTTGCACAGTACATTAACAGCCTTGTACACGTCTCCCCGCATGCTACGAAGCACCGAAAAGTCCTCGATAACTTCATCTGCCTTCGTACAGGCGTCACGTGTCTCCTTGTCATCAGCCACTTGCCCTAGAAACGTCACGTTGGTCACGCGGCTCAGCATCTCATGGTCCAAGTCAATGAGCTTCTGCGCCGTGTTCTCAAAGGTCACGGCAGAAGGCGCCAGAGCCGCAATCTCGTCGTCCACGCACTTCATCTGCGCGAGGATCCGCTTCGTCTCGGCCTCGATCTCCGCCACGCTCAAGTCGAAGCGCAAGTGCGTCAGCCGCTTGACAGCGAGGCTCGGCAGCTGACGCCTCCTACGCGACCAGAGGGTGAGACCCGCGAGCGCTGCGACACATGCGGCTACGGCCAGTGCGTTTTTCTGCTGGTGCGTCGTCATTGCGTCGCAGCTCGAAGGGTTGGAGCGATGGGGAAGTGCGCGCTAGGTAGTGGCCGAGCTTCTTGGTCGGGACTGACGTCTGTCGGTGTGATAGGTGCGAGGGGTACACGATCTGCTAGGTGCGATCTAGCAGGTCCTCTCTCCACAGGTCACGGGTTGTAACCGCTCCGTGATTGGTTTAAACTCGATCGAGAGCGAGCAGCGTGAATGGGCGAACGCTCGATGATTTGGGGCAGCAAAGGTCTCGCATCGCCAGTATTACAACATCCGCAGCGTCTTTTGTTAAAAGGTAATCTGTGAGACGATATTTCAACAAAGTGGTGCAAGGACAAAATCAGAGAGTAAGGTCTAAGGCTCGCCCTTTGATAGAAGTAATTGAGTTCATGGAACGGAATCAAGTTGCAAAAACAATGTACAACAGCAGCAGTCACTGAAGAAGGAGGTTGATGCTGTCAATATGTGTAGTGACCCCGTAAAGCACACTCAAGGGAAACTACGGTCAGCCTTTGCTTATGAGCCTCCAGCATTTGCTGATGTGATCATATTCACCTTTGATTGATCCCGTGCGTGCGCCACGATAGTGACCTAGCCAAAGACTGACGCCGATCATGCTAATCGACCTGTGAGAGGGGAGCAGGCTCGATCGCACTTAGAACGTGCCCCTAGCCGCGTTATTTACAGACAGATTCAGACACACACAGATCAGAAGGATTTCAAGCTCGGCATATAACCTCGTGCTCAGTCACGAATAGCTTTACCCTTCGGACTTGCAATAAGTGGCTTTGCCTTACCGAAACAATGACACTGACAAACCCTTGTCTATTATTGTTTAGTTGATCACGCAATCATTGCAAATCGTTAGTACCCGATTGTTTATGCTGATGACTGACCGCTGTAAATGGTTGAAGGCATCGCCAGCGTCCTGGGCAATTATTGCAATGATTCACACAGTTATTGCCAATATTCCATGATCGTTATCTAGCAATCCATCGCCAAACAATGGTTCGCCAATCATTGATCAAACAATGGCCTGATTAGTGCGATATTGCTACCAAGGCTCCGGACATTTCTGTGCAGTGCAACGTGTCCCCTAATTCACTTGTCTCCTGTCTATCTAGCCCAGCAAATAAACGTTGCTGGTCTACGCCTTGGGCTTCTTCAGGGCTACAAATGAGCTGCGCGTCGTACATTCTGCTTCTTCGTTCGCAGCGGCGCTCGATGTAACATCTAGGGCAGGTATGTCAAGGATCTTGATTCCCCAGAGTAAGTAACCGCTGCATGCGCTCATAGTCATCTCGGGGTGGGTCCGGCCAGGCAGCACCTGGTTCTCGCGTGTCCAAGTTTCATTGAGTTGGAGGTCAATAATGGATTCCATCTTTTGTAGCCGGGCAAACGTCCGGGTCAACGGCTAAAGTGCATACAAATGTAAGTAGAAAGCACCACATTGCAAACAGTAGTCATGCAGCATTTCACCGCTCACCTCAAGAAATTCAGAGTAGACAACAAACGGCTTGGATCGACCCAAGTACGGCAGCAGAGCCTTAAGAATCGCCTCAGGGTCGTAATTTGCAGCTATCACCAAACTGTCAGACTTTTCCCGGGCCCACTGACGTATCACCGACGGCTTTTGATGGGAAAGCTTGGTCTCCTCGCGGCGCGCCTTCTTGTCAGCATAGCGCTTTTGCTGCTCGGGCGTGAAGTTCTTTGCGCGTTCCGCTGCAAGCTGTTCTCGCTGTTCCTGCGATAAACCGTCCCTAGCAACTTTCTTAGGCTCCAGCACTTCTTCTTCTTTCTACATACGAAGTGACGCCGTGAGTATCCATGACACAAGCCATGCAAAGGCGAATAAATACAAAGAGCCATACCATTTCAAGCAACCGCACTTGCTTGAATGGCAAGTAGTGAATGGACTCCAGCGTAAGCTTGTCTGCAGACAGTCACAAAATATTAACAACTGTAAACAACTACACGTTTATCACACACACACCACAGACGAGCATTGATCGATTTCGTACCGAAGTTAAAGCGACGCAAGATGTCGGCAGAAGGCTGCTGCCCTTCGTAAGGGCATATAAGGCGTCCAGAACCTCCCTGGCGTTCGGCAACTGCACCAGTCACCAATCCCATACAGGTGTCAACCACGAGTACCTGAGCACCCGCAAAGATGTTGCCGTAGACTAATATCTGCCCCAACGTGTCTTCGCGTAGATTGCAGATTTTGCTCGGGTTTTTCAGCCGGTAAGTGCGACATAGCGACTCGGCTGTGCAGCGCAAGAAGCGCACACGCGGCATGTACTTTTGCTGCTTCTTCTTGAGGTACTTTTGCTTAGAAAACTCGGTCTTGGTCTCCCACGTGGAGCTGTTTTCGACGAGCTTTTGAATAATCTCCTTCCCAGAAGCGCCCTTTTCACGCAGCTCGCCAATGTCTGTCTGCTTCAACGTCTGAGCTGAGTTGGTGTCAGCATAATGTCTGTTGTCGCCGTCAGGCACGAAGCCTTCTCCCGTTTCTAGTCCAAAAAGATATAACTCTCAGTCAAACGAACTTGATGTAAACTTACAAGAAACAGCTAACCTGGAGCCACAGGGTCTGGAAACAGACCGCCTGTTACCTTGACCAATTTCTTGTTCCGTTCCTCGAAAGTTGCTCTGCACGCATCATCGTGATGCCCAGAATGTCAGAATAACGCGATTGTACCAAGTCTGATTAAAATCAATAGCACGGAGGAGTGACAATCATCACATTACCCGTAGAAGGAGCCAATAACAGGCTTTAAGCTTGCCACTTTTTTGCCAACTCGGATAGACCTGACATCATTACGAAAAGCATTCATACGAGCGTAAGATGCTTTACTAGCTATCAGATGATGGTAGTGAATCTAGCCGTACTCGTCCTTCGTGACGGCCTGAAAGAACATGCGGCCATCGCTGGTCTGGCATATGACCGTGTCGCCCTCGTATATGACGTAGGGTAAGCGATGCTCCTTTTGCGTCGCAAGAGCATCCGAACTGGCTGCAGGAGGCGACACCATAGTCATGGCAACTCGACAGTTCTACGACTTGATTGGCCTCAATTGCACAGCTAGCTGAGCTAGATTTAGAAAATGTTTCGGCCATTCATATTCATTGCTAAATTCATAATAACTCCGATGGTTCATGGAGCGTGCTAAATTAAACGCTTCTTTTGAAAAGTATAGTCGACTCTTTGCGTTGGTCAGATTTATTTAAGAAATGATGAATTAGCTAACTACCGACGATAATGGTACGATTGTTTTGACGTAAAAATACACGAGATGTTCCTGTTCATAACGCTGTCTACAAGAAAAAGTTCAGGCTGAAGACCTCGTCCAAGTGTAATATACAGTTGCGGGAAATGCCGTTTCTTGCCATCACTTAAGTCGGTCAAAGCTGTAGGAGAGGATTATATAGTTGGGATTCACACGAGTTTAAAAAAAAGCTTAGACCTCGCTTGTCGTTATTAGCAATACCAAAAACTCTCGATAGGCTTTGACTCGCACATTGCTGTTCCTAAGAGTCAGGTCTTCGCCGTCGATGCGTTGCTGACCCTAAAAGCCACGGTCGAAGACTTCTCCAAGAATATGGCTGCAATGAGGGGAAACGATGTAAGTTTTCCTCCTTCTTCAGTCTTTTGTACATGGACCTTATCGGTGCTGCTGTATTCAGTTACCTCGCTTTGATCTGATCTTCTGGGCGTGAGGTTCAGATCGCGGCTACATGTGCTCGCTCTTCCCCAAACATCCGCTACTGGAGGAGAAGACGCTGTTCATGGCATATTCAGAGGACTCATTGAAGTCGCCGTCGCAGCTCATCACGCTCACTTACTTAGTCATAAACGATGCCGCCAACGCATGCGCCTCGTGTCTAATCACCGGAAAGTGTGAACGACCTATCGATGACATAACTCTCGGAGATTTCATTCGTCTCTACTGATGCGATGAAGGCCGAGCTGATGCCTGGGAAATCGGCAATGAGAAATGGACGCCTCCGCTTTCTGCCGCAAGCGTCAAGCTCACGAATGTCGTTGTTAACTGGTTTATCGGCAACGACGCGGCGGTAAAGCTCTAGAGCGATACTAGAATGCAGACCTAAAGACATTGTTCTGTCTTCAAGTCGGACGTGGTCCGAGAAGCACACGAATCCGCTATCGTGTCTATGTCTGTAACGGGACATCCTTTGTATGGGGTGCCACGAAACTTCACGTACACTAGTACGTGCAGAGGAAGCTATCTACTCAACAGCTAGGTTGAGTAAAAGGTAAGTAGAGAACTGTATTTTATATAGTCAAGCTATCAATACAACCTTAATCTTTATCTTCGTCGTATGACGACAACCTGCTCACCAATCAATGCGCGCGTCTAGCAGGGATTGGTCGTAATCTATGGTTTATTTGACTTTTATCAACCAATCTTAGAGCAGCGAATGAACATTGTCCAAAAAGGGATGATATTACTTCAATATTATCCATATCGGATAGTATTTGTAGAATGTTGTCATGCTAAACAATCTCCCTATTGATAACGTTTGGTGTCAATTTCATCTAACGGGCTACCCCATTACATCACCCCCACCTCTCAACTATCAATCACCCGATGATCGAATCAAAATTGATTGGGACAGGGTGACCACCGTTGGATCACTCTGGGAAAGAAGGCACTTGTTGGTCAAATCCCATTCATTTGCCAATCCAATGCATGGTTTCGAAAACCACGCGAGCTGCTACTGCAGCAGCGAGAAGAGCGGCTGCACGCATGCGTGCAACCGGAGAGAGTACTTCTCACGCCTCAGCAGCAGGTGATTCATCGCCTGCTGTTGTGAACAGTCCACGTGGTGAGTCACCGCGTGCGACAGGTACATCCGCTGCGTATGCAGCGGATACTGCGAATCGTAATCTAGATGAGTCTGAAATAGAACTCATCTATTCCGGCGAGTCGGATGATGTATCCGACTCGAAGGCGACACCTCTCGCCTCGGGATCACTCGGGTCGGACACTGCAAGAGCGAGGTTGTCTGGCTCTGGTCAACGTGGCGGCATCATGCTTGAGTTCTTCGGACCGACCGATTGTTCCGACTAAACTTCGCCTCACGCAATTCCATCAAACGATAGGACACGTGGTGATGGTGGCGATATCTCTAAGCAACACCACGAGCGAAGCAACTTGAGGGATAGAGCTGTCACTGGTGTTAGTGCTCATGCTGACACCAATAAAGAGGCCAGGGACCGAAATGTCCTGCTCCACCCCCCAAAGCATAGTCTCCTTGGGTGCCGTCATCCAAAGAGTTGGGCCGGTTGGCCGGCATGGATACCTATCAAGATAGAACCACGTTGTTCGACTGCAGGAAGATTTGCGCACCGAATTCCAGCACGGAAACTATCCGTGCTGAGGAAGAATTCTTCATCGATGAATTTTCCAGAAATCGATGTTACAATGGCAGCCGTGGTCGAGACGGTAAGGCCTTGGTGCAAGGATGGAATGACCTCATCCATAACATCGAGTGCATTGGCCGTGAGGCCTGGATCGGTAAACTTAATGCAGCTCACATCAGGTTTGAGAAGCGTAACCCAGCCGGGGTGCAATGCATGTTGCACAGACTATCAAGAGAGGCAGGATTACCCTGACTCTCGTGGGTGATTCGTGTCCAGGTTGCTTGAACAACTCGAACCGTGCCCCTAGGGAGGCTTACCTCCCTAATGATCCCTACTAAAGGGCGCGCATCTCTTCCGAGATGGCCGAAGGGATTGACACCTTGCAGTCCCTGTACTCGCGTTCGGGGAGGTCGTTTTCCGACGGCCCTTCTTCGAACGTAGCGGGTGGGTCTCGTCGTACTGCCCGACGAGATCAAGGACATCAACAATCAGCTGGGCACGAGGCTCCCAGCTGTCCCAGGCTGGTGGATAGCCACTCCAGTGGGCGAGGTAACTCTTCCGGACACCATTCCTATCGCGGTGGTTTAAAATACGCTCCACCGGAAAGCGTTGACCACCGCCGGAATCCACCAAAGGATTTGGTGGTGGTGGGAACACCTGATCCGGCTAAAGGGTCGGATCAGCTTGATGTTTAGGAGCTGAACCGCGTAACGGAACATTTACAAAATGACCTGGATCATGCACCGACTCGGCGTTATGAGCTCCATGATCTTGTAAGGGATAATTACAATTCCTTAACACGATCGTTCGGACGATCGTGCCGCGTTTGCGTTTGCACAACCTGAGAACGAACGTTAGACTCGTTCTCTTCGTGACGAGCTGGCTGCAGCTCGTCGAGACATCGTTGAACTGCGTGGACAGGTCGCTTCGCTAGTCAATCATACTTGCTCGTTGACACGGGACCACTCGAAGGTGGTCTCGGCTCTCGACCGCGGAGGTTTTCTTCGCCTCTCGAAACGAATTCGTACTGATAGTACGGGCGGAGACAAACGACGTAAAACTTAGGATGCGTACGCATCTTACGGGGCAGTTCAATCGTGTATGCGTTGCCCATTCGGCGCAACACACGAAACGGACCGATATACTTGGGCAGTAGTTTACTGCTGCCCACGTTTGTCACTGTGTGTTTCGGTAGATTAACTGTAGACAGTAAAACTAAGTATCCTTCATCATATGAAAGAACATGTGCTCTTCCATGTTTGTCTGCGTTTCTTTACTGCTTGTCTATTGCATCTGCAATATGGTCTTGAGCGAAGCGGACAAACGCTTCGCGAGTCAACAGAAATTCCTCTGCTGATTCATCCTTGTCAACAGCAGTGCGCTTCATGTGCACTGCTGAAAGAACGTTGTCTTCACCAGTGTGGGCGTCATCGTCCTCACTTTGGCAGTCATTGGCGATGCTGAATATTTCAGCATCGTCGCCAATATCATCATCGATATCGATCTCATCGACATCGGGATCCATCACGTCGACACCATTGTCGACGGGTGATGAGCAAGAACCAGATCAGTTTTCATTCGAGCGAGTCCACCCCCCCCTAAACTAGAGTCACACTCTAAGAAGGTGGGTAAACGTGGATGGCGTAGGCCATTCACGAAGAACGGAGTATGCTTTGTCGACGCATGCACCAAATTGTTGATGGTGGATTCCGCCATCGGCAAGAACTCACTCCAACATGTAAACGAGTGGACGTACCCTCAAAGCACCTCTCGAGGACGCGGTTGACGCGTTCCGTATGAACATCTGTTTCTGAATGGTCAGAAGTCGACATCTTTAAACGTGTTTCAAGTGAACGGAACACGGATTGCCAGAACTTCGCTGTGAAGCGGGGGTCCCGATCGGACACGAACTCGCGGGGTAACCCGTGAAGTCGGAAAATGGTATCGATAACGACACGAGCACAGCCCCGGGCTATGATTGACTCCGGTACAGCAACAAGATTTACTATCTTGCTGAACCGATCAACAAACACAAGAATACCAGTATTCTTGTGAACGTCTTTGGGAAACCCGAAGACGAAGTCCATCGATACGGACTGCCAACACTCTGCCGGAATCGGAAGAGGCTGAAAGGGTGCGCGGGATGAAGGACTAGGCTTCACCCGTTGAAAGACTTAGCAAGCGTGAATGTATCTGCGCACAAACTCACCATATGGTGATTATTTTCTCTACCGCGATGCCCAATTGTCGAGGCATCGTGACACTCATACATGATGCGCAATCGTAAATCATTATGAGCCGGAACGACGACACGAGGTGTGTCGCCGTTGACTGTTGTATAGTACAGTAGTCCATCACGAACAGAATACCGTTCTTTTATAGAGCGGTATTGAGACGACAGGTTTTTTAAAGCTTGACTGCACGGATTAGATACGTAATCTATCAATCGCAGAAGACACTCGTCTTCTGCGTATGCTCTTCGCACGTCGTCGAGCAGGTTCTACAACGTAACACTCACTATTAGTGTTGCTACAGTGGGATCACCCCTACTGTTGGGTTAAGCAGTCGGCTCAAAACGGGCCGACGCGAAAGAGCATCAGCAACGACATTAAGCCGTCCTGGTTCATACTCGACGGAGAAGTTGTACTCCGCGAAGAAAGACAGCCACCTCGCCATTCGTTGCAAGAGGTGTGGACTATTTACGGCCGTGCGTAAATACGCATGGTCGTTGCAAACGATGAAGTGCCTATCCTGTAAGAGATATACCAGAAACTTGGCCAGTGCACATTTCATGTCAAGGAGTTCCTTGTCATGCACGGGGTAATTACGCACAGCTGCTTGCAGCTGACTCGATTGATAACAGACGACGCGCTCAACGCCGTCTGAGTCGTACTACATTAACGCGCAGCCGATTGCAAAATCGCTGCGTTACAGACCACATGGAATGGTCTGTCCTGATCTGCAATCGCCAACACAGGCGATTGCACCAAGCTTTTCTTGATGCCTTCAAAAGAGTGCTGACACTCAGCACTCCATGACCACCTCTCGTTTTTCTTTAGCAGACGAGAGAGATGTACGGTCATCTCGGCGTAGTCGCGCAAGTACTTGTGAAAGTACGCCGCTAGGCCAAGGAACTTTCTAAGTCCCTTGACGTCAACTGGCACAGGCCAGTCGCTGATTGCCTTGATTTTTTCTGGATCAGGGCGTACACCGTTTTTACCCACGATGCAACCAAGAAGTGGTATTTTGCTCGCTGCGAATATACACTTCTTGAGGTTTGCGAACAACTTATGCTCTCGCATTAGCGTAAGAACCTTCCGGATGTGGATTCTATGAACCTCCACGTCCGTCTTTCCATCCGTAGTCCGGCTATGGACGAAGACATCGTCGAAGTAACTCGGCGCGAAGTCGCGCACCGGTCGCAACAGATTCGTAACACATCTGCTAAACGTTGCGGGGGCGTTACTTAGCCCCTGTGGCATCACTAGCCACTCTCAGAGCATACCACTGGGGGTGCTCACTGCTGTGTACGGGATATCCCGTTCACGCATGAGGATCTGAGATAATCCATACATCAAATCCATGGACGAAAATATGGTACTTTTGCCATACCATCAATGATGACGTCCTTCCTTGGGATCGGCGTTTGAGCCGGTACCGCTGCAGCGTTTTTTTTTGAGCGAGTGCACTATCCGCCACCCTCCTGTGGCCTTTCGCACACAGAAGGTCGGAGAGCTATGTGGGGATGTTAATTCCCCCACACGAACAGCCTCTAAACGATCGGCAAAGAATTTGTCGATCGCTGTGACCTGTTCACGAGGCAGTGGCCACTGCTTCATGACACATTATTTCGAACCAGGTTTCAGTTCGATTTCATGTCGAGTGTCTTTGTCCTTGGGCAGCTCGCATGGCACGGATTCCGGGAGAACATCCCTGAATTCAACTAAATCCTTATACAAAGGATTTGTCTTAGCAACTCCCCGGATCGAGACGTGTATCGCTCAATCCGGGTCTTCTCATCGAGGACACTCTCATCCATCGATGAGCTACTGAGATCGATGAGCTACTGAGAAACCGTTCGCTCTCAGTAAACACTTGTGCCGACCGAATATCGGCGACTTACTCGCACCCTGTGACGAGTACGCAGATCTGCTTGATCTTGTCACTACGCAGATATCGCAAGAATCTTTTAAATTCTAGCGTTGGCAACTTGACCTCCTCCGAAGCTGACTTCGGGGGAGTAATCAGATCAAGTGTACAAGCGCCTGTACTTGATCCGTCATTCACAAAGACATTTACTGTCTCGGTGATTTCCTGGGAGAACACATCCGCAGGTGGTCGGGTATCCACACCCTCAACAAACTCTCTCGGGAGTTATCACTCTCAGGAAAGCTGGTCTTCCGTTACGAGTACTACCACAGTCACGTCCTCTTCGATCGACTCTCTTTGAGTCGATCGGGCTTGCTTTGCGACCGACCCTCTATTAGTCGATATCGCTTCAACGTGTTGTTCATCCTGAACAACACTAACCTCTCTTTATGGATGCACCCTTCTTGGTGTGCAGCCGTGTTCCAGTCCACCCGATCTCTTCGAGTGGTGAACCTTCGGCGCAGCCTGTGTCTCTACTCAGGTGCCGGAAGCTGGTTTCACAGTGTAGTGGCCTTTTACAATGTGATCTTGTGCAGTCATACTAACGACCGTACCACAAGTGAGGCCATCGCACTCACTCGTAGTACATCCACACGCTTGTGGACGCTCCAAGACGTTCATCAGATGGCCATCTGATGAACAAACGGCAGGCATCTTCACGGATCAATGCTGCCAGCTGATCCATGGCCGGTATTTTCTAAGTCATGGCAGACCGAAAAAGACATCAAGCTTGTCATCCAAATCTAGTACGATGAAGTCATCATCGTACTGCTTTCCTTCTGGCGTATAATGGGTTCCCACTACACGTTTGTTCACTGCTACGGATGTCCCTACAGCAAGGCACACCGTCATCCTCGTCGGAGGGAACTCTCGTTCAACATAGTTGAGTCTACTGTAATCTAGCGAATGGCGTCGAATACAACTGTTCGACGCCCCACAGTCAACTAGGGCGCGAAGTGACATACCACTTTTCGCTTCGATCTATAAAGTGATGAGGGACAACTCATCACTAGGGGCAGTAAAACACTGCGACTGGGTGTTGGGAGAAATCTTCGTCAAAAGTCCTGCAAATTCTCTTGACTTTGCTGGATCAGCAGTGTGCATCAGCAGTGTGCATCAGCAGTGTGCTCCGCCCCAACTGAACCTGGCCGTTTTGTGGAAGTCCGACTTGCTGCTGCGGTTTAGCGACAGCACGTCGGGCCCGCACCTTGGACCTTTCCTCGGCCAACGGTGGTCATCAAGTCCTGTCTTTCGACGAGATGCGGTGCTTGGGACACTACAATCATGAGCGTAGTGTCCAATCTTCTGACAGCAATGGCATCTTGCCGTTCGCTTGTGACTCAGAAATCGAGAGTTCTCGCTCTCGACATAACAGAGGTCCGCTGGTTTGGGACATCCAGTTTCCTGTCGTCTCGTAGGACGATAGTTTGACGAGTTAGCCTGAGACTATCTCAGGCTGAATTTTTCTTGTTCCGCATACGCTATCACCTTTTCCAGCGTATGAAAAGTCCTCTCGGAATGTGTAGGTCTTCACCGACCCATCTACAAGACCGTAGATGAACACGTTGATGAGCGTGTGCTCATCAACAGGGTTTTACGTGACGCTACTCGCAAGGTTTCGCAGGTGTTGTGCGTAAGCGTGCAAGCCACGCTTACCTTGTTTGAGCCTCAAGAGTGCAGAGCGGGCTCTGAACTCGGCTATCGGCGGCTCAACGTCTCTTTGAGCCGAGACTTCAAGATCTTTAGCGACTCAAACACGTTTGGGTCGTGAAGCTTGAGCTCTAAGGCCCAAGCCTTTGTTCGTCCCGTCAAATTTGACAGGGCGAAGGTGACTTGCATCTCGTCACCCTCGATGTGACGGGCCCCGATGGCGTCGTCTAACTTGACGAACCAACTCAAAAGAAAATTTTCATCTGGTCCCTTGTACCTTGAGATATCAATTTTCAAGGTTTCGAGTCGACGCATGTACGTCGGCCCGCCCATCGTCTGATGAGAGCCTTGCTGCTGTAGCAAGGCTAACTTCTGTCGTTCGACGGCAAGTTCCCCTTATAGGAATTTGTTGATAGCAGCATGCTGCTGGTCTCTGCTTAGAGACTTAAACATGCCACTGATGGCGGGTTCGCCCATAAGCACACTCGTGCGTCCGACTGCCCCCCACTCTGAGTCACTCAGATGGGAATAGCCTTCACGTGTGACGTGAAAGCTGTCGTCTTCAACGTCCAACATGTTCATGTTGGACGGACACTAAGTAGTCGTTGGACGGACTACTAAGTGCTACCAGGTGTAACGGGGCACCCTTTGTTTGGGTGTCACGAAACTTCACGTACACTAGTACGTGCAGAGGAAGCTATCTACTTGAACGACTCGGTCAAGTAA